TTTCCACGTGGAGCAACTGATGCCCAATTTGACTTCTTGCCCCAGGGATGACCCTACAAAAACTGAAACCCATTTAGGTACTTTGATGGAAGTCTCTGCATTTGCTTCAAAATAAGAATAATTTAATTCAGTTACTGTTACTGCCCTGCACTCACCAAATAAGCCTTTTGGTGCACATACTAAAAAAAATCATATATAATCATGCATGTGCTTACACACATACACTTGAAACGGCCAAATAAAGACTTCTTAACTTTCCGAAGATATTTATCTCAACATTACAAAATTCAAATGTCGTGAGCAAGAACTCTTACTGGAGTTTAGTTTCTACGTGTTTGTTTTACACAGCCTAACTCACCCTTTTTCCCAGTCCATCAAGCCCTCATGTCCCCTATGCAGACAAATGACTAATTCAATTACCTTGTGTGCTGACAGGCCAGCTGGTTGCTGCTTCTTGGCATGGGTAGAGAGGGTGAGTTATAAATGTCTTTCCCTCATTGTCTTCATCCTCTTCCCAGCCACAAAACTTAACTTCACACCCCTTTGTCAACTTTGGCTTAAACGAGCCAACAAATTCAGAAGTTGCAGAGTGACACACAGACTATATGGGTGTATGTATCTTGTTTTCACTGGAAAATAGATTGGGGCAAGGAGGGGAAGCAAACTTGCAAGGTAGGTTTACAGCACGCATATATTAAATTTGCCTCAGCTCCAAAAGTATTAACCCAGCTTAACCCAATCTAAAATGGAGCTGCCACCGTCCCACCACACCCACAGGCGTTCAGTGTTATCCCTTCCCTTGTAGCAGCACTCGTGCCAAAAATCAACCTGAGGGAAAAAAAAAAGGCAGTTAGCGTTTGGTGCAGGCAGCACGGAGCCAGCTCCCTGCCTTGTCACATGGACACCGCCAGCACGGCCCAGCAGCGCGCAGCACCGTGGCAGATGCAGCTGGCTGCTTATCAGCACACGGGAGCCGACCCTAAAGCACTTAGTTATGGACATGCAGCACAGAACCTCATTAGTACTACAGCCAGTGATGTGCTGGTTTTACAGAGGCACACATGCACTGGTGGAGTTATTATTTTGAGAAGAACAGAAATAAGAAAAAAAATATTCATATGATAGCTCTGAGGTCAACAATTTCAGCTGCATTCTGGACAATATCTTTTGGTCTTTTGAAATAAATGTATAACCTTGACTTCTTCCTAGCAAAACTAGCCAAACCTATACACTCAAGGAAGAAAAAACCAGCACTACAAGCAAACATGGGAATATGTAATCATAAACATTGCCAAGTCCAGATTTTCTTTTGGGCAGACCCTTGTCCTAAAGAAAATAAAAGGACACATCTATTCTATATCATTCATGCAGAATTGCAAAACCACTGAATAAACCAGTGGTAACCCCACTGGTGACTGGGGAGAGATCAGGAGGGAGAAGGTAGAACAGCAGTGGCATAGTGTAGCCAGAGTGGCTAACTTAGATGGAGGGAGGTGTGAACAGCAGAGCATAAGGCAAAACATCTTGGGAAGTGTATCCTGATGACATCTTATCTTGGCTGTACAACACAGTGAGTCTGGGGGAGAAAATGTTTTTATCTGCAATCACTTATGAGATCCTTCTCCACTAATCAGAACACAGGTACATAGGTATTGTTCATCAATTGTATTATAGACAGCATGGTTATATATTCATTTGATTTGTTCCCACTACACACATAAAATGAAAATCACTTCAGTATAAAACACAGTTTTGTATGATTTTTAAATTCTTATAAGGAACCTTTGAGGAAGGATTTTTATTAAAAGCATTTTTCCCAGTGATCTATTTATTAACAATAGGCATCATAACTTGATTTTTACCCAGCAGTGAACATGTAACAGCTGTTACTCAGTTGTAAAACACTGTCTACTTACGCAGCATTAAATAATAAATAAAGCTCAAGACCTAGTACATGTTTTACTAAGCAATCTAATGATATGAAACAAGAAGTTCCAAAGATTAACTGTGAACTGTATTATCAACTCTGTCCCATGATATCTGTGCCTATAAGTACAGAGCTGTAATATGAAGGAGGAAAGAAATTAACAGTAACAAAAAATAATTTCTGTTCAGTCACAGCTGCACTCACAGTATTAGGAGTGGTTTTTTTAACAAATTTAAATCTGAGTTCAATAGAAAGCCTTTCCTAATAACTTATACTGATTCTTTTGTACAGCTTTTTTTAGGATGACCTACATTGCTTGGGAATAAAGGTGAAAAAAGTCAACACTGATTTGCATGGTATAGTCTAACCCCAGCACATTGGCTTTTAATTTAGTAGCATTATTCATCAGCCTTTACTGCACTAGCCCTGCACAAAGCTATCAAAGTCACAGGTAAAACTGAAATTACCTTCCAGATACAGTGGATCAGACCTTGCAAATCCTGAGATAGAACAGAAACAGCACTAGAGACACCCCAAATGCAGATGGAACACTAATGACAAAAAAAACCTTAATGCTGTCGATACATTTTTGGGCAAGTGAGACCTAGCACAACTGACCTTCAAAACTGCAAGGAAAAAGCCAGCAGTGATCCACATGGAACGGTAATTTCCACAAACTATGGAATTTGATTTTTTTATAATTTCATCACCACTGAATGGTCAACAGCACAGAACAATGTGGGAAAAAAAAAAATAAAATTAGGTGAGTCTAGGGTTCCAGAAATGTCAGGGTAATACAAACACACTGCAGCTTCACATTTTAATAGATAAAGTTTCTGCCTGTACCTTTAGCAAATTAGTAACATATGAAGAGCAGCAATCCAACGTAAAAATGAATAATAATCACTGCATTTAATACATAAGCACATTATTCTGGATGCCTTTTATAAGTTGTATCTTCATCTGTTTAAAAGGCAAAGTAAGCCATGGGGTTGAAAAAAATCCCTATATTCTCCAAATGGAACATCGATGATGAAAACCCTTTAGTGCACGTCTTTGAGAGGAAGAAGTTCTTTTTTTGTTGTTGTTTTGCTTTATTTTCTGTGTTGTTGTTTTTCTTTTAAATGTCAGTATACCAGAGAAGTCATTTTAATCATATAATTACTGAAAATTTTGGAAGGTTTACACAAGACCCATAATTGGGCATAAGACATCACATCCTCTGGTTATATACACAGCAATCTGGTCTGGGTAACATTCTTTGCTCTGACCAATGTGTGCGAGGGGGAGGCGGGGGAAGGAAGGGGAGGGAGGGGGAGGAATGGAGAATTAAAAATACTTCCTCAGATTAAATTTTCTTTACTTCATTTACTTAAAATGTTCTGATTGCATAAAATGCACTAAAATATTTATCGCGACGCATCTCCGTGGTTAAAATACCTTGTTCTCAATGTGATATCCTAGATATTCAAACAAAAGACATTTAGCTGACAATAAAGACCTTTTTTTTTTTTTTTTTTTTTTTAATTTAAAAAAGGCATTTGTACACCTAAGACCGCACCACGGATCAGTCTCCTTTATCATGCCGGAGTTGTGACAGGTAATGCATAAAAAATTAAAATCCAATCCACCAGATAAGACATGCAAAATGTCTCCTCCAATCCCACCCCCATCTCGCCTTAGGAAAAAAAAAAAAAAAAAAAAAAAAAAAGAGCCCAGCCACCACCAGCCCTGCACATTCGGAGCACACGCACAGTGGCACCCCTAGAGCCACCACTGGGGCGACAGCGACAGGCCCGAGGGGCCGCCACCCCCGAGCCCCCCCGCACCCCGCTCCTGGCTCCATGAGGGGCGAATCCCACCTCGCCGCTTCCTCATGCCCTCACACAATGGTGCTTTCCCCCACTAGCTCCGAATTGTCAACATTTTCACGCTAGGCCCCGGCCGGGCAGGGCTGGGGCGCGGGCGGCCCGAGCCCCCGCTGCGCCGCGGGGCCGTGGGGGCCGTGCGGCCGGGGGGATCAATGGCCGACGGGCCGCGGCCCCCCCGCCGGCGCTGGGGCCGGAGCCCGAACTGCGCAGCAGGCGCGGCGCAGCGGGCCCGGCCCCGCGGAGCCTCAGCCAGACCCGGGGCCGCCGCCCCCGGACACCATTTCGGGGAAGGTGCCGCCGCAAGTGGCCCGACACCGTCGCCTCCCCCCGCCCCGCAGCCCCCCGGGCGCTCTCCCCCCGCGGCCCTCGGGGCCCGGCCCGCCGCTCCCCGCGGGAGGCACCGGTGTTCCCGGGGGGCCAGGGCGGCTCGCCCGCTCGCGGTCCCCGGGGACGGGGCGGGGGCTCGGGGGGGTGTCCTGTCCCGAGGGGCCGCGGGCGATCGTCTCCCCCCCTCCCCGGCCGGGGAAGGGGCCGAGCCCCCGCCTCCCCCCGAGCCGGGGCAGAGCCCGAGCCAAACAAAGCGCGGCCTGAGCGGGAGCCAAGGGTGAAGCAGCCTGGGCTTTTCCTGTCGGTCCCCGCGCAGGGCGGGCCCCGAGCCCGGCTTACCCCGATCCCCGGCGGCGGCGGCGGCGGCGTTGTTCCTCTCCTGCTGCTGCTGCTGCACCGGGCGCGGCCTGGACACTCGCCTGGGTCTCCTGTTGGCGGCTCGGACCGAGTTCATTTGCCGGCTCGTGTGGGCGGCGGGAGGGGAGGGGGGAATCCTCCGGCAACCGGTGCCTCGGCGGGGACGGGGGCACTCGGAGGGAGCCCCGGGGCGGCCGCCTCGCAGGCGCGGGCAGCAGGGAAGGGCGGGGGGGAAAATCTCCGGGCGCGGGTCCCGCTGCCGCTGCCGGCTCGCTCGAAGGCAGAGGAGCCGCCGGCTCTCTCAGCGCTGCTGTGGGGGACGATGGCGCCGCGCCCCCCCGTCCCGGCCCCCGGCGATCCCGCGGTCCTGCCCGGCTCAGGCCCGTCGCTGCTCCGTGGCAGGAGGAGCCATTGACACCGCCAGGGACGCGCTCGCGAGCGGGCGGCCGTTGGGCGGCCGTGCTCCGCCAATCGGCTCGCCCCACACAAAAGGCCAGCGCCGGCGCGGCCAATCCGCGCTGCCGTACTATCGGTGCGCGGGTTGGGGAGGGACGGGCGGGCGGCGCGGCGCGGGGTGGGGCGGTGCGATGCCTATAAAAGGCCGGGGCCGCGCGTGTGGGGCGGCAATGGCGGCTCTCGGGCCCGGCTGCGGTTGCACAGCCCGCGTGAGGAGCCGGCGCAGCAGCCCGGCCCTGGGCAGCCCGGCAGCCGCCGGGCCCGCCGGCAGCAGGCGGGCAGCGGAGGGGCCCGGCGGGCTCCGCTCCGGCCGTGTGTGATGAAGGAGAGAGGGCGGGCGTCTGGCGACGGTGCCTTGTTGTGGTGCCGTGCGCCTTGGTAACCCTGCCTGGGCTGGATTAGCCGTGCTGTGGCTGCCGGCTCGTTTCGGTTTCCTGACTGGTTTCTAACCATTTTTTTCCCTCTGGATTTGTGTGTATTTTCTCGGCTGGTGTGCCCACTCGTGTTTGTGCTGCCTTTTGCTAATACAACGATAATGCCCTTTAGTTCGGGCTTTAGACAAGTGCATGAGGCTTTTCCTCCTTTATTCTATTTGTTGTGTTGGTGCTCAGCTGATGGCCTCAGAGCAGGGAAGAGAAGTAAACGGAGCTAGCTGTGATCTTTTTCCTTTTCAGGAGTCACTTAATAAAATGGATGGCACAACCTAAGCAGTAAGGAAGAGACCATCTCTTTGTGGGCTTGCTCAGGAATCTGCTTCTAATGTTGTGAAGGTGGGTTTGTGTGGAGTCCTACTTAAACTAAGCTCTGGGAGCTTCTGGAACCAGGGCCCTTGTCTATGCCTGAAAAGTAAGGGTGTTATCTGGTAGAAGATGTAAATAAATGATGGTAATTAAAAACACATTAGGTATGAGCTTGTTTCAAGCTGACTAATGAAGGTATAATATAGCTAAAGTAAATGACAGCTTTTAGAAAGAAGCTTTAAAAAACACTTGTGATTCGAAAGGAAATGACAGTGACATTCTAATTCTCAGTTCATATTAGACCAAATGTAAATGTATGAGAAATCTCAGTAGTTGTTAAGGAGCACTTTTTAGACTTAACATTTTGTTGCCCTAAAGAATGACTGGAGAAACAGTAGAGGATGTTTTTCCATGTCTGAGAGAAATAATTCTTGCCAACTTCCCTGATATTAGAGGAAGAGATAATGAAGTTAAGCTCCTGTGAGAAGAACTTTGTAGGGAAAAAGAATATAAACATCAGTCTGTTTGGGGGCAGTTTCTGTCATAATGATTACTAGGCTACGGTACTGAACATTCTGTAGAACTACATAATTACATGTAAATATAATTGAAATATTTTTATTTTTGGTAGTAGATACTAGCGTTGTGAAACTGCGTCAACTCTTGAACAGGAAGAATAACCCTACCCAAGTATTGTGCTGAGCTTAGTGTGTCATGGTTAAGGGCTTTTTCCCCCCTCACTGGGAACTTCTAATCTTTAAACTGGAGTATTTCAATTATTTGAATCCATAGCTGTTCTAGTTATGCTCTCTTCACCAAGCAAATGAATTCTTGGTGTCACAAGATTATCTGAAATTTCTCAATGTAGGTATACTCCAAATGTTTAGTGCTCTAAGTCTTGGAAAGCTTGTTCAAGGATGGATGACAAGCTGATTTTCACATACAGCCTTCAAGAATCTAAAAGTTCTGATACTAGAATAAAACATTATTTAATTGAAGCAAACTCTAAACTTTCTTAAGAAGTCTTGCACTGGTTTGAAACCGAATGGTCTCTTGGCCTATAAAAACACTTTCTGTAATTAGCTCCTTAAGGTCCAAGGTGTGCCTTCACTGACAACCAAAATAGATAGAGGGCAATCTATAGACGTTTGGGATAAATGGTCTGAGTTGTTACAATGAGAACCTCACGGTGAATTATACAGACTTGATTCAATAAATTACTGGTGCAGAAAAAGTGATTCCTCTAAGTATTCAGTGTTTGCTTACAAGGCATGGAGTAAAGAAATACTTGCAGTGCTCTTGTCTGACATTCTTGGCTGTACTTCAGAAGGCCAAACAGTAGAAAGACTGAAAACTCATCAAAACATTATTGACTAAATCTCTGTATCTCTTCTCATAGCTGTTAAATGTATCCTGTCTGGGACTTGGTCATAATTTCAGGTTTGTTTGTCAGTCTTTAAAATGTTCTAGTCAGCCATCCTGTGTCTCCCTTGCCTGCTGTAAAGCCTCTGAGAAGGAAAACACCATTCTGTGATAGAAATGGCACTGAAAGCCTAAATTAATAATTTGGGCTTCATTGTGTTGACCACTGTGGAGGTGCTTTAAGTTATCCTGTATGATGTGCTAATAAGCCATTCCTGAATGTGGGTGTGATTTATACTGTCAAGATAATTTTGCCTTTGTCAAAGTAGCTTTTTCTTTATTTAAATTGGGAAGAGAGAGAATGGGAAGTGGAGCTAAACTGTACAGTGATCTTTTTGCATAATTGTTGACAATAGAAATGCTTGCTGGGCTGGTTATGTTGGCCACAAATCACCTTTTGGTGACCCTTGAACAGCCTGACATTATGAACAGAAAAAGGTGTAAGACCTGGGTGAAGAGCTTGCTTGGAGCATTTATAGCATAAGCAATTTGGACAGAGTTGTCAAGTGCTAGCTCATCATATTCAGACCATCTTCTAAGCTGCACTGAACTTCAAATGAGTGTCTATTTAAATGTTAATGATAACTGGTTCTCTGTTTCTTGAAGAGTTGGCTGCTGCTTTGAAGAGATCACCTTCCTTCCTGCATGAAGGAAGAGATGCCACAGAGTGCTTAATGATAACAGTAACTTGTTAATTATGTGTTAACATAGAATGGTTAGAGATGAGGCAGCTTTACAGAGAGATGTAGTACAAGTTGTCACGGAGGGGATTCCTGTTTGTGAGGGTGATATTTAGAGACAGCAGGAGCAACTTTGAGTGAGCTGACTTTCTCTAAAGTGAAGACAGTTAAAACAACTTAAATATCAAGATAGTGTATCAGTGTTTCTTTTCTAGATCCTGAGTATTGCTGTGAGATTAGAGGTGGTGGGGTCACAGAATAAGCAGGATTGGGAAATTACTATGGGACAGTGCAAAGTGGCAAGTCAACAAGGCTGATTGAGGCCAGGGTGATCTGCAGGAATTACCACTACTTTATTCTATTTAATGTATATATCTACTAGCAGCCTGAAAAGCCTTGCTTCAGAGCCTATTAGAAATGCTTTGAGTGTGAGACAGATTCATTTAAGTTGTCATGATCCATCCTTACCCTGAAGATGTGGGTATTGCTTTAACAGTTGATCAAAACAAGTCTAGGATAACAGATGTCAATGAATCTGTGAATTACTTCTAAGGGGTTCACAAAACATAAGTAAGGACAGCCTTCAACTTGTATATGATGGCCTAAAGCTCTACTTCAAAATTATTCAGAAACAGTGATTTTGAAAATGAAAAAAAAAAACCAAAAAACCCACTGAATTGCTGGCTTTTATTTAAGTCAAATGCACAGTATTCTCTCTAGCTTTTGCTTCCTTATACTTGTGAGAGAACAAGAAATATTTTGAGAATATGGTTATAGTTAATTATACAGAGCCTTTACCTAAAAGCTTGTGGATTTGAACAAGAAATACAAGAAGTAATTTTTTAATTACAGTAACAGAACCCAGGGTACAGGAGTCCTTACCGAAGGCTTTCTCCATGGTGTCATGTTACTGCTTTCAGAAGTATAATAATTTTGCCTATTATTTCTAACCATTGGAGATTTGGGACTGACCCAGTGTAAATTTCTGACTTGTAGCTCTTTAAACTTAGAGGGTTGTTTCTCCTGAGATTGCAATATGTGGACCTTTCAGAAATAGCTGATGATACCTAGAACTGGTTGAACATGCTTGATGTGCAGCTCAAAAATTCCAATGTCATTTTGTTGCAATGTCTCTGACCCTCTGTTCCTCTTAATTGTGTTTTTTAACCCATCTCATGCAGCCAGAATCTTCCCACTCTTGCAGAAAAAGACTCTTAAATCTCTCCTTCTTTTACCTGGAATCCATGTCTTCTGAAATCCAGCTTGATGTTAGCTGACCTTCCTGGGTTGCCTTCTGGGTGAATGTCTGTGGCTGGGATATTTTCTGTTGCTATACCAACCTGGTTTCTGCACTAAAAATAAAGACCTCAGGGTGGGGAATGTGTCTTGTTTCCTATAAGCTCACATGACTGTTGCAACATGTTTATCTAACATGTTAATTCTAATTCTGCCCTAACAAAAGCTCTCTGGAAGCATGAGTAGTATTTCGGTTCCCATTAATTTTTTTTTTTAAATAAAAGTAACTTCTTAAAAAAGTCCTGGAGGGATTGTGTTTGAGTTTTAAAGTATTATTATCTGTCTTGGTAGAAATTTCATAGCTAGATAAATATCTGCACAGCTGCCTTCTGGATTTTTTGGGAGTATATTCAAGAGAGGGAGAGGGAGTGGGAGTATGGAGCTGTTCCATACTGTATTTTCAGCCCATTTTTCCTGACAGTACCTAATGAAATTCCCCATCTTGGTCCTCTGGATTGTACTGAATTTATGTGTTTCAGATAGTCTGAATTGATGCAAAGCTTAATTTTTAAAATTAATTAAAACTGGGGATAAATCACATCATTTTATGGGTGATGAAATATTATTTTGATTTGGTGGTTCTCATTCACTCAAGGTTTGCTAATCACTGTTCATTTTCAGACATACATGTACAGAGATCAAGTATGGGCTTCACTCAGTTTTTATTCCTTGGAGCTTACTTTTGTTTTGCACATTGCATTAGCAGTATGTCCATATGATGAGTTCTGTCTTTACAGCTGGGGTTTTCTGCCCCCCAAGTAAGACTGGTGTGGGTGTTATTTATATTGCCTTGGAGAGGATGCAGCCTGAAGAGATCTTTCAACATTATGAGTTGAGTCAGGTCCCAAATGAGAAATGTTTACAAGAGGTGCATCCAATACTCCCAACTAGAAAAATCAATCATTTAATACCAGGAGGCTGGAGTTATGAGGGCCTGGCTCCACATGTAGACCTAACAAAGGAGAAGAATGGCTTCTTTATGAATTTTTTTGCTGGTGTAGGGGGTGGTTCTTCCCTAAAAGTATCTCAGTGGGATTCTCAGCTCCTCATTTTTACGAAGTACTGAAGTTCCCTGAAACTGGTCTATCAGGCCTAGAGGGGCAGGAGCAGCTGGGGACACTTTGCTTCACTTTTGTTATGAACAGCTAAACATGAGGAATCCCAGTCTTCATTTTCAATGTGTCAAACAGTTGGCAGCATTGTAGAGCCTCCAAAGGCAGGGTGCTTAAATGGGATTTGGTATCTCCATACAGAAAGGGGTCAGTAGTGAGAAGCGATGCTGCTTTCAGTCCTGAAGGCAGGAAGACAAAAGTGGTTGCACCATCAGCACATGAATACAACTGCCTTCACTTCCAATCTGGAGAGCAGGTGGGTGTGGATTTTATTAGTACTGACAGTTTTAACCCTAGCAGCAGCTGTTTTTGTTAACTGGTGGGAACAAGTTCTTCATGGTAAAAAGAGACAGATTACAGTTTTTCACTTTGCTGCCGGGGAGATGGATGCAATTTTAAATGTCCTGCTCCAAAGCTATATCCGTTTCTACTCTGAGTTCTCCTAGTATAAAAAGATTGGATCCACCCAGGAAAAAAGTGTGTAGCATATTGTGTACATATGTCTTGCCAGCTTGCTCTTCTAGTTTGAGCAGGTAGAAAAGAGGAAATTATGTCCTTTTTCTCCATCTTGCGGTCTTAGGTGGATCTCTTGGATGTGCCCTATCTGGTAAGTGGAGGTAATGTCTAATTACTCTTATAACCAATAGCTACTTAATCAAGAAGTGTTATTGGAAGCGTTTTGGAAGAGTATTTTGCAGTCGGGGTCCAAATTAATGTTGCCCTTAAGAAGCAATCCTTCTCTTTTCAGTCACATTTTTGCTGCCCCTACCCTGCAGCCTGTTCTGTCAACCAGCTGCAGCAGCACAGTCAGGCAGCTCAAGGAGGTAAAATGACTGCGAATGAATCCAGGTGAAGGCAAGGCTATTTTTCAGACATGGGCAATGGTAGTACAGAAAAGTGGTGGGAAAGGATGGCCCTCCTTCCATGCAGGAGGCTCACTGTGATCCTGGAAGCATGCCTTTAGTATTTCCCTGGGCCTGTGGTTGAAAGTCATTACTAATTAGATCTGTTGCATTGGAATGCTCTCAGCCATGGCTGTGCTGCTGTATGAGCTGTCTGGGCTGCTGCTGAAGCCCCACGTTCTGCTCTGTGGTTGAGCTGTGCATCCAGGCAGGTGGCAGCACGTATTTCAGAGTAGGGAGTACACAGCGAGTAGGGATTTAAAGCTACGTAATGACTTCAAGCATTTAAATTTCTCTCTGTTGCCACGTGGTGGTGATGTTTGTTATTGCCTTCAAGGAGCTTTGGACTTTTACTGCTGAGGGCATGTGACAGATAAATTGGCAAGGAATGTCTTACAGGCCAGTACCTATAGGTGACTTTCTCCAGTGCTGCGTGGTTTGTGCAGTTATCCACATGGTGTTGAGATGTTTGCTTCTTATTTCTCCTCCATTTTCCATGTACACATTCCTACACCTCAGCAGGGTCAGCTAATGAACCACAGGAGGTGTTTTCCTAGCAATAACTGCCAAAATATAATAGATTTCAAGGGTAGCATGCTGCAGGTGTTCCCTTTTGAGTCTACTCAGTTGTCATCTTAGGTTTTTCCGGATGAAGAAGGCTTTCCTATCCCATCTTTATCCCATCAAAAGCTTGGTAGTGATCTTTTTTGATTGCCCAATGACCCTGTTTCTGTGGTGAGTCCCTAATGTGTCAGGTTCTTACCATTATCTTATTTATGCTGATAAGCAGATACAGAGGATAGATCATCCATTCAGAAGAATGTGTTTATAAAGTAGATCAATGGCCCTGTAAAATCCTCTCCACCAACTCTTGGTGATGAGCATGAGTGTGATCTAGGCCTTAACAAAATTTTGTAGTATATGTAAATGCACATTCACTCTAAGGGCAGCTTACAGAACAGCTGGTTTAAATATGTTAAATAAAATCTGGTTTTCCTCCACTTGGCTGTGTCCAGTACTACAAACTCAGATTTACTGAGTCCCTGAGTCTTAAATCTTCTTGTTGCTTAAGTTTTTATAGTTTTTACACAGCAAATCAGAAAAGAAAAATGGGAAATCAGTGTTATCGTATATTTTCAAGTCTCAGCTAAGAGGAAAAGGAAAATTTAATAAGGCTACTGTAATAAGCTAGAGAATTTTCCTTGTAGGAATTGGATAAAGGGAAGTGATGTCTCTACGCTGTTTTATAGAAACAGATTACTGACTGTCATTTTAAGTTCATGTTCAACATCAGTAGATAAGCTGTTACTCTAGAAGTTTATAAATGTTTAACCTTTATTGTTTGTTTTGTAATCTTCTTTTATTAATGGCTGATCATTGTCTTTGTTTTTTATCAAGCTGGTCATCCTATTACTGTGTGTGATTAAATGGATGACTTTGTCTTGTAAGCTGCTTGGCAAAACCAGGCATATTTTGATGCAAGTTGGGTTTTTTCACATTTACGTCTGTGTAGATGGCATTTCTTCTGTGTACCACTTTGGGTATGGAATAATTAATAGTTGTTCACAACAAAAAAAATGCAGTCAGGGTTTGTTTTTTTTTGTTTGTTTTTTTTTAATGAGGCAGAAGCCAACTGAAAAGGAGAAGCATCAAATCCAATTTTCTCTCTCTATGCTTTGTTCCAACATGACATGAGATGCAGTAGTCAGTGTTGGGCAGTACTGGGCTGTGGCAGCTCAGTGCTGGAATTTTGCACAGCTCTGAACATGTTTAGGTGAAAAGGGGAGGTCCAGCTCTCACAATCCCAGAGTTTCCACAGCCTGTGTGAGCAGGCCACTGGTTCTGTTGCACCACACTCTGTTGTGTTGCGTGTGTGTAGGGTTTCCATACTCAGCCTGTGAGGTGTGGAAAAAGAAGGTGGCAGTCCAATCTATGAGTCAATTTTTGGAGGTGTGGAAGAGCAGTCAGTGAAGGAACATAAAAAGGTGAAGATTGGGCAATGGAATGTTTGGCATTGGTTTTAATTAGAAACATCCTGTTCATCACTCATATGTGAGATAAAAAGGGACAAATATCCATTATTACAGTACACTGACAGAGGAAATATCTGTATTATAGTGAGCAATTCTAATTGAGCTGCCAAATATAATTGAATTGAAATACAGACTCTTTTCCAACAATATTTCCCTTATTGTAGTGCATGAGTGAGAGGCAATGACGTATTTATTCCTAATCATTCTGCAACTGATAACTTTTGTCTAAAATCCAAAGTACTTCAGTACTAACTCAATATTAAACTTAGCAATTACCTCTGTCAGCCGAAAGATGAATAAAGCTCAAAAAACAAACCTTTATTTCATAAACCCAAGGCTTCTTGTGCCTGTTCCCTCACAAAGGTACAAGGATGGCACTCGTACCATGACCTAGAAGAATGACTGTGTAAATCAGAGGAGGAAGCTGATATTTGCAAATCTCAGCTGAAGGTTCTTTTGGGTTTGGGCGGGGGAGCTTTGTTCTTGCCGAGGAGGAATCAACCACTGAACTCCTCTGCTCACGTTCTCTTAGGTGTGGTGCTGTGACTCAAGAGAGGGCTATGTGCTGCCCTCTCTAGCTATGACTGCAGCTAATCACCCGAAGTGACCTCTCCTCTCCATTCCAGCACTGCAAACCAGCTGCACTGAGACTGTTACTCCAAGGGTTACTGGAAATTAGATTAAAACCTGCTGCCTCTGGATTTGGTTAATTAGCTGGCAGTACCTTTAAAATACTTTTTTAGAGCATTTGGACAGTGGCGTGAAACATGCATCGTTTTCAAGGCTTACTAAATTAAGTGAAACAATCTGAGATCCTTCCACATATCAAAGGGAAAAAATTGAATTTTAAATTCAGGGTGTTCTATATTATAAAACTTAATAAATATCAATATAAATGGGTACAAGTAGTCCTTCCACCCTCCAGTTGATACAAAAGACTTTCCTCACTTTCTATTAATGTCTCTGTGTAGACTGAAGCTTCCTCTGAACCAAGTTTTTTTCACTTCTGATTAAAAAGCATGTGATGTTGCAAAGTCAATACTTTGAATTACTGTAAAGCTGTGACATGTCATACCTAAAAATAATGGTAGAGAAAAGAAAACTCCTAATTTCTAAAATACACAGACATTTTTGTCATTATTCCGTTTAGGTCATCAAATTGTTACAAGCTATCGAACTACAATGTAAGACATAATTTTTAAAAGAATGAAAAGTGCAGGAAGTTTGAATGATGTATTACCATAAATTTACTCATCTTTTATATAATGCCTTCTTGAGGTACTGACATTTTCAGTACATTAATTGTTCATAATGAATACTCTTGCATAAAACATTCAAAGGTAATTTTCTGAGGCCAAAGAATGACTAAAAAGTTATTCACTGAAGAGCAATCAATAATCTGTATCTGAAAGAACAGTGGTGGAATGCAAAATAAACTGATGTAACAGATAGAGGAGTTTGCATATATAAAAGAATCTGCCCTTTTTACAGGTTTGATGCCCTAAAACAGAATCCATAGTGTTGGTGTGGACTGGTGCAGAGGCAAAATGATTATATTCTAATCATGCTCCATGGAAGGCAAGGAAAAAGCCAGCTTTGAGCAAAATATCCATATCTCTTGTGGCAGAGATCCAGGAGGTAGCTACCTCTGCTGCAGGTAATATATGATTGCTTTTGTGCTGTATACTTCAGGATGGGTAATAAAAATCAGTGAAAATATGTTTAAAGGATATACTGAAATATTGGGAAAATAAATTAATTGATCTATCAGGCTTTTTCCAGGCAATAGAGTTTAAACAACTTGTCAAATATTTCTTGGCTGTTACAGCCCCGCATAAGAGCTTTCCCTGGTTCATAAGGAAAATTAATGTGAAATCAATAATGGTATTTAAAAATTCACCAAACACTTCCCATCCAGTGAAAGTCTCACTTTCAGAGTGCTACTAATGCAACAGGCAGAGTGGGAAAACCACACAGACTTGACCTTAGTGATTAAAACAGAAGCCAGTGCAGATGGAAAGTGCAGTGAAGAGATGCTTTCAGAAGCGACCAGGAGGACCTGCCTGCTTCCCCACAAGAACAAACCTCTAAACAGAGCCACTTGTGAGCATCAGCATGCAAGATGCAGTTGAGATGCTACCCTGACTTCCTGCTAGAAGATACAAACTGGCCTGAACAGCAAGCAAAAAAAAAAAAAAAAAAAAAAAAAAAAATCACATAAGGGTGAAAACCACAACAGAAGAACTGTAAAATTAGTTTCCTGTAGCATCATACAACCAATTTCAGACAACAAAGAGGGAACATTTGCTACTTCAGGTTGCTTCATTCTACTCTTGCAGAAAACCTGGGATCATTTTGGAAATGGGAAGAAACAAGCCATAAATTAGATTTGTGTTTTGGTTTATCATTTTTAATAAAAGCACAAAGAGGAGTAATACAGTACATGGTGATTTTCTGGCTGTATCTGCATTTAGGCAATTTTTCTGGTGATGGAAGTACATTGTAGTTACCATTTATGTAAATTAATACAATTGTAATTACCCACTGTTGCCACATTTGATCTGTGAAAATAAATAGGGTTTGTCAGTATCCCCTCTTCTTCCCCTTCCTCTCCTAAGTGATTCAGAACTGTTTTCCAGCCTCTTGCACAGGGTTGTTCAAAAAGGGCAGAAGGTAAAGTGCAAGCCTGGGGAATTTTGATGTGGTGGTTTCTCCTGGAAGGCTGATGTAGTGGGCTGCTGCATCCAAGAGCAAATTCCAGATTTTGTTCAGTTTTGTCATCTCCAGGCACCCATGCCCACGATCTCTCAGTGGTATTCACAAAAAAAATTTAAAATATACTTCTTTAGTACTCATGGTGATATCTAGTTTTGTGAGTCCACATGTCTCACACCTCACCAAGCTTTTTGATCTGAAAGAGTTTAAAATTTGTTTTTCTTTTTAGGTTAGAATTTAGATTCAGATGGAAGCACTTGACTCCCAAAGCTGTGTCCTCAACCAGCAAATAGGAGATACACGATAGAATTGGCAGAATTGCATTGCTCTGAGCACTTTTGGAGACATATGCTGCTTTTCCCACTCCTGGAAGTAATCCCACTGATGCCTCATGATTATTCACTTGAGTCATGGCTGCAGAGTTGACTTTTTGGTGGTTTGGATTCCCAGATTTTAACAGAAAACCTGCCGGGTTGAAAACAGCGGGGACGCGTTTAACCAAACCCCAATGCTTCGAACGCAAACTAAACCGCCTGATGGCTCAGAACGCAGTTTGTAAGAGGAGACATCCGCAGGGAGGAAGAGCCGCGGAGCCCGGCGCGGTGCCGGGGTCGGTGCCGGTGCCGCTCCGTGGGGACGCGTCCCGGACACCAGGTGGCGCTGGCCCGCCCGCCTGGCCGCGGCTGCGCTGCCCGGCCGGCGTTTGTTTTGGAAAGGAAGCCGAGCTAGACAGCAACATCTCTGCCCCGCTTGGGCCGGAGCGCATTTTTTGGGTTTTTTTTTAGCGAAATCGCTCCGGGGAGTCTGGGTGTTGTTTTCTTGGCTGAGGTTGCTGGAGCGGGGCATCGCCTGAGTGCCATTGCTGAGCGGCGCTTCTGCCCGGTTCGTGCGCTCCGTGAGAAACGTGGGAGCGCGGAGCCCGTGCCCAGCGCTGCGCTGCTTTCGTATCTGGGCTATCGACAGAGTAATGGCTTTTCACCTGCCCCCCAGGTGTGCTCTCGCTGTTAAATGAATTATTACATGCTGCGCCATGAACAAATGTCAGACAACCTGAGAAAACTTTAATTTGCTTTGTCTTTTAAAAATACCATCAGTTTGCTTTTTTGGGTTTTTTTGCTTGTTTTGTTGTTTTTTATTTTATTTTTTGCTTGTTTTTGTTTTGGTTAGGGGTTTTTTGTTTGTTTTGGTTTGGGTTTTTTTGTTTGCTTTGTTTTTTTGGGGTTTTTTTTTGGGGTTTTTTTTGTTTTGTTTTTTTTTGCTTTGGTTTGATTTTTAATGGAAAAAAACCCCACCAAATTCTGCCCATAGCAGTCCTTTACTGAGTTCAGAATATTACATATGCCCTGCAAACAGAGATTTAAGAGATTCATTGGATACTAGAGATGGCATGAAAATGATAAACATTTCTCAGTGCTTTCTATTTCTCAGTGCTTTCTCTCAATTTTCTGCAAAGCTTCTCGAACATTGGAATCAACTGACTCTAAGTTGGTTCAGTTTTCAGGCAAGGAAAGTTGTTTTCTTTTTCCTGGCTTGGTAGCGTTTTTACAAGAAGTGAGGACAAGATCAGGCAGATGGAAGGGGAAAAAAGTGTGAAGAAATTGTAAGATCAAAATCTTTAAAACTGCGTTATTGGTTTGAAAAAATGAAGACATTAGTTGTGTGGCTTCTGTGTCTAAATTACAGAATGTTTTGAAAATGCTATTTTAGTTTTAAAAGTTGCTGCACTTATTCAAAGACTGCTGAGAATGAAGAGTATTGATAAGCTCTACTAAGCATTTTCATATGGAATCTATTTTCAGCCACATACCAGAAAATGTCTTTGTTATTTTTTTGAACCAGACCCTAATCTTGGAATGACTTTTCATTTATCAGAGCCTTTTAAGTCTGCTATTGTGTTTCCAGTCAGATCCTTTCCACTCACTTCTTTTTTCCTGTGTCAGCCTCTTACAAACTTGCCACAGGGCAAAGTTCGCAGTTATTTTCCACAGGCACAAGGATTTCCCCTCTCAGGGGTGCACTTGGGCTTTATGCAGTGGAAGCCAAACACGAATTAATGCCAGCACTAATAGTTTGTGATAAAGTTTCTTGTGGTATATCATACTTAATAGCAAACCCTACAATTTGTGATTTAACTTGTTAGTAATTCAAACACTTTGTTTCTTATGCTGTTTAGTCAGATGAAATGGCTTAGTGGTTTTTTGCATCACCAGCATTGGCATTTGTGTCTGTTGGTGTTCTTATTTAGCGTTGTGTTGGTTCCCACTTCAACTATAATTTAGTAATGTTCAAATACCACTTTCTAGGGAAAAAAAAGTAAGTTCTGGCATCGGCAGTTGAGAAGTTGGAAAATGTGAGTGGTGTATGCCAAAAAAATCCCCAAAGAAATATAATTGACTCCTCTTAAAACTTCATTATTTTTCAGTTTTGTTTTTTCTTTTTTGGCGGGCAGGGGAGAGAGGAGGGGTGGATTACGAATGTTGTAGCACTTCAGTTCCCTAAAATATATTTATTTTCACTTTTTCCAAGGTGTTCAAGTTTATTGCTGTGTATTTTATGGGTAACAAACAGCTGAGATTCTCTCAAGGGATTAAAAAAGCACAAAACCTGTTTGTTCTCTCCTAATTCACTGTTACAGATTTTACGACTCCTAGCATCAAGAAGGATTTGTGTTCCTAGCCTTGATAGAAACTGCCACCTCTCCATCCTTCTGCAGTGAGGATGTGCCAGCTGTCAGCCTGGCTGCCATTTCCCACCCTCCTGCAGCTGAGCAGAGCTTTTAATCAGTCTTGGAAAGTGCTTTGCTGACCCTTCCCTTTTGACAGAGGCTGATGTTCAGGCTGTAGTTCCTCGTGCCTTTAGATCTCTTGCTGGGCATTTGCTGCCTTCAGCTGGAGCTGGGAGCAGCAGATGTTTGCCTGTGTCAATGACCACCTAATAACAGGAGAGAGCAGAGGATGCATGGATCAGAGAAAGAGCCAAAGCTGTCCTGGTTAGTGGCACCATGGGCCCAGATTGCTCAGTAATTGTTTACCAAATATCAGCATGGAAAAATAATCAATCAGCTTGTTTAGATAACCTATCTGTTAGGGACAGATAAACATCTGCATCACAAAATGCAAGTAATGGGCAGGAAATCTGGGGATTTGTGTAAGTTCTGTTGTGGAAGAGCCAGCCTGGTCAGAGTCAGCTCTCTGGGGCAATGGCACCAAGGAGCCAGTGCAGATCAGCCAGAGCTCCAGAGACCTGCAGCCAGCACAGCCTGGCATTGCTTGTCCTCCTGACAGCAAGAGGTGACCTTTGGCTGATTCCCTTCCCGTCTTGCTCTGCTCTCCTCCTGCCATTTGGTTGCTTTGTGCTGTTGAAGTTGAGCTCCTGGGTAGGGGGAAGCTGCAAGTTCCATTTATTGGGTGTGTGTGAAGCCCTCGGCACCACGGGGCTGAGCCCAGGGAACATCTCCAGGCCTGTGCACCAAGAGCAGCTGTTATCAGTAACAGCAAAAACAACAAGCTGTAATAGAGTGTGGGAAGGTGAATAGCTTGCCATTACTGATGTCAGTTTTAGAGAGTAAGAACTGCATTTGTGTTATTACTGATCATCCTCTGGAGAGCTTTAAGCATCTCCCTGGATAGGGATACAGTTTCTGCCCTTACCCTGTATAACCTCATCAGTTTCAAAACAAGATTTAATGTCATTAGAGTAAATTGGCATTAAGGCAAAAGATTTTATCCAAGGAATTCAGGTTGTCTTTCTTTATTTTTTAAAGCATATGGCACCAGTAGGATCATCGAAAAATTTACCTAAACCAACCTTTCTTCCCAGCTGTCTCAGGTCCAGCTTGTGTCACCTGTACCCGTGCTGCTCTCTGTTCTACTAAGTGGTAAACACCCTCTGAAACATCTTAGCATCCTTCAGGATATTTTATACTCCCTTTGCTCAATTTCATCCAGGAACAAGGGACAATTGGGTGGTCTGCTTGTTAACTGGAAACTTGGTCAGCTCTCCTCATATTTTCAAGATTGGTTATAGATTAATAATTCTCTCTGGTATTACTGTGAATAAATTATAACTGAACAATGGACAAGTGTATATGGCTAGCATTTAGTTTTATGCATTTTCCTTCCTTTTCTGCAACATTTTTATTTCCTGCAGTTTAGTATGGGTGCCTACTTGCATGATAGATTGTGTCTGGAATTCCTGAAGGAGTGATTTAGGCTATTCTTCTCCAGTTGTCTTTGCTTGCACTTTAGCACTTTGAAATTTCTGCATTTCAAGAAAAGGAAGAAAATTCCCTCCAGTATGGAACTGCTTAGATTTCATTTGTAGTCTTTCAGTGTTTCAGTTGGTGCTTTGTCTCCTGGTAGGTACAACTCCTCTGTAAATGTCTCTCTAAAGTCCTTCAGGATACCCCCTAAAAGAATGTGGAGTTAATATGACTTGCAAATTGTTTTAACTGATTTGTTTATTGGGTAACCCGAGCTTAGTTCATTCTCCTTGACAAAATGCAATCAGTTGCTTTGCTTCATTCCTCATAAGCTACAGTTAGAATCTTCTTTTGTTTTTCCAGAGAAGGATCTGAACCCTGACCCCAGCAGCGCTTTGAAGTCTTCCCTGACAGACAAAGATGAAGCTTGAGGTATCAAAATGTCCTGGGAGGGACGTGACCCTTCAGTGAACAGGGACCTGATGGGGTGGGCTTGTTGCAGGGGGCTGGAGATGGAGAGGAGGGTGACTCTGCATGGAAGTGTGGCTGCTCTGGAGCTCCTGTAATTGCAAATTGTAGCTGAGGGCAGGGGAGAAGCCAGGAGGATGTGTGGGGCAGTGTATCATTTCCTGGTGTCATTGCAGAAGATTAAGAAATATGCTTTAATGGGAAAAGGGGTTGTCTTTGGAAACACGTGGATGCACATGTGTTTCTTGAATCTAAAAGAAAAGGAGTTGACGATTTCCACTATGGTATTTTGATTCCAAGAGAGACACTGGCCTTCATAAGAAGTAAAGAAACAAGGCTTACTGTGATTCTTTCTTCCTGTGAAGCTTTCAGCAGAAGAAATAGAAAGTATGGAAAGGCAAATAAGAGGCTGTGATATAGGAGAAGATTAATTCAGATCACATAGCACATAAGGGTGTTCCCAAAGTTCAGGACATTCTTTTAGGAACATCCCCACATAAAAAGGAAGCATCAAATGCCTTAACCAAACTAGATCAGTCTTCACGACATCACATGTCTGTGAGCATTTAACATCCTTGCTGCTGCATTGTAACTGCACTGTCCTGTTGCATGGATGTGTCCCAAGCATAAAAGTTGAAGAGATAAACATTTCATCTTTATTGAAGTGTAGGCTGTATGAAAAATGTTAAAAAAGACCTTGGGGCTTTTTTTTCTCAGAGAGCCAGTATACATGAGATAATGTCAGGTGCAAAGAAAAAATCTTATATTTGCAGTGAGAATGTTTCAAGCAAAATGTTTCCATCTGAACCCAGGAAAAAGACAGAGGAATGATAACAGCAGATTTCTTGTCAGAGATCAGCTGTCAGAATGAACAGATAATGCTTACTTAATGGCATCCAAAATAGAAATCCTCCAGATCAATCTGCACAGTCCCTATAAAAATAACAAAACCAGAAAAAAAAAGAGTAATTAAATACTTGAGAGGTTTACAGTGACAAAATGCAAGATGAAATAAGGCTTTGAGAGATTAACTAATACAGAATAGTTATTTTGCCTTTTCTCTCTTTATTTCCCTTCCACACTTCTGCTTCTTCTTTTCATTTTTTTCCTACGGCATATACTAAGAATGGCTCCAGTGAGTCATTTCAGGCAGGTTAAGCAGATGTCTAAGGAAGCGGCCTTTGGTAAATCCAGTGGGATCATACAGGTAGAACTGGAATTCAGTAGCCTAGGCTGAACATCCCTTTCTAACGGAAAGGCTTTGCTTATTCAGTCCCACAGATGCAGCATGGAAACAGGGATGTGACATATTGCTTATTTAGGGCCATGTGCCAGAAGCTGTGAAGGGCAGATCAAGCCTTCTGAAAGAAAATCAAACCAATTAGAATCTTGTCTCATGTTTAATTAGCTTAAAACTCAGTCTCTTATTTCCAGAAAAAAAGTGCTTGTGGGAGTGGAGGTACTTGAATACCAAATCACCTTCCAAACCATTTGGAATTCACTCTAGTGAATAAGATAAGAGTGGGTTTTGACGGAGCTTTATTTTCAGCTAAATTCTAATGCAAAGTGCCAAGCAATATAAACCTGTATGAGCTGAAAAGAAAGAGGAAAATCCTACTGGTTTCTGATATTGAGCCAGTCAGTCCAGCTACTACAATATCTGAGCATCTCAATCTTTAATGTGTGTCACTTCAAAACTTCTGTATGACTAAAATTTCTTTTAAAGGTCAAAATCAATTTCTTAGGGAGCCACTCAGAATGTGAGAACCCATATCTAAGAAGAGTTTGCATGCATATAACAGGTAAAGATATATAGCAATATGCTGGGATTTTTCTGATTTTTTTTATTTATAAAATGTGTTTTTACCAGGCTCACAACCAGCACAAAATTAAATATAAAACTCACCTAATAAGCTGATAAAAAGCAGAACATCATCCATGACACTTCAGTCTGCCAGTTCTTATATTTTTCACCCACTTACACTGTTTTCAAGACATCTTTTCGCCTAGGGAAAACCACAAGATTTATAATATACCAGGAAAGGAAAAAAATCTAGTTCTTACCACACTAAGGTGAAAGCTCCAAGTAAAAGGATCATCTCCCAACATATCCTTGTCCATGTTTATTTTAGTCTAATCTAAACTAGATTATATTTTGTGTATTTTTAGAGCATCTTTAACATCATAGTATTTGATCATTACCTCCTACAGACCACATATGGAAAGAAATACTCTGGTGTATGCTGGTAGATATTCAGGAACAAATGGGAGTCCAAGAGGAATAAGCCTGGGTGGCTGATGACATCTTTAATACTTGCAAGCAAATATTAAGTTCTGATCTTGCTTTAGGAAGATCCACACCTGAAGCCTGAGTGCTGCTGGATAATGAATGAGGAGCAGAATGCACCCACATTTTTTAGCTGCTCTAAAGCTGTAGTGGAAACTTGTAGCTGATCTTCTGAGCTGTCATGGGATGAGTGGGTGGGGCAGAGATGGAGATGGATAGCTCAGGTATTACAAACCCCTTTGCTTTACACGTTTAATGAAGGGAGCACAAGGAGCATCTGTGCCTTGGCTGTGGGAGTGAAGCAGCTCTGAGGGGGCTCAGAACCCTCACAGAATGAGCTGCATGGAGCACTTGTGCCCAGTTAGGATGGGGGGAGAGAGGTGCAGTGCAAATCCATAGGAACATCATGGAATAATTTTTTGGCCTTGCACATTGTTGGCATGCAACTGCTCAGTGAATGTAGCCTTTTCAGTAGGCTGTGCAGAGCTGGGAAAGAAACAGCCCTTTCTAGTCATTTCCTTAATGGAACCTGAAAAAAATATGAAGTTGAACTCTGCAATGCCATGCTGACAAGTGATATAATATTCTTATTCATCTTTTAATCCTGTACTTTCAGGTGTCTAATTTGGTGCTTCCCCTATTAACTTTCTCATTTTTTCCTGTGTGGTACATCAGAGGTCACTGTGCCTCTTGTCATAATATTTCCAGTTTATAAGAGGGCAGAGGGAGCAGAAAGTAACTACAAGGTATTTCTAAATCTTTCATCTTCATTTCTAAATCCTGTAATTTCTTTAAAGTACATACTCTCCTTCTTTCTTACCACCAGAAACAAGAACTTATTTGAATGTCAAACAGGGCTTTAATGAATCTCATAAGATAATCATAACAGCAGCTGTCCAAGTTAGTTTCTTTTAAAAATTCTGTATGATTTCACTTATGTTTTTAAGTGCTACCTCGAGAGTTTGCCTTTTTCTTCCTCTCACACATCTCTTTGAAAACAGGGATGTTAATTTACTAGTTAATGCCTTTTAAGTGCTTCTTCACCCAAGATACTGAGCACAGCTCCTCCAATGTGCCAGCTGAAATGGAGCACATACCATTGAGGAGAGAGGCACTCAAGTAGCTGATATTGCAGTCATGACATTGTTGATATAAATATTCAGAAATGCCTTGAAATAACATTAGTTACCATTCAGCAAAGGTTGGCACCCCTAGAATGGTGATTGCTAAATATTTTTATGCTTTTTTGGTTTTATTTACCCTCCTCTGAGGAAGCACTGAGCACATGCAGGGTTTTTTCCTGTACTCTACCCTTTAGAAGTCTCTCCTACGAAGAAGGGCAGGCGACAGTAAGTTGAAGTTTTCTTATAACATCTGGGTGTCTTGTGCATCACTAGCAGATGCTTATGCCTTCCTTTGGGGATAGATGTCTGAGGGTGTTCTAAATTTGAGTCACTTAACTCACACATACATCCCAGTCCTAAACTGAGGATGTACAGCCAACATCCGAGGCAGTTCCTTCATGTAGGAGTCCTAGCCCAACATCTCTGTCTGGTTCCCAAGTGACAGCTCCTAACAGCAGAATTACTTCAGTGAGAAGCAAGGCAGGCAGCCAGATTCCAGGCTGTTCACATTGCCTCCTCCTCTCCTGAGCCTGCCAAGGTACAAAGTCCTTGCATAACCCAAACATTGAACAGCAAGAGAGCAGGTCTCTCTAAGAGATGGAAACCTGCTTGCACACTGTAAAGGTAGCATTAGAAGGCTTTGTAGTGATCCTACATGGTGATGCTTCCCATGACAATGTCTCTGCTTATCTGTTAACAGAAGACATCATTGCAAAGCTTTAGCACTTCACTCCTGGCCAGCATTTCTGCAGCTGAGCTCTTATCCTATTTATTTGCTCCTGCAAAACAAGTAGGAATCAGCTTTCTCATGGTGCACTGATACTGTTAAAATTTATCTCTAAAAATTTTTCTGTGTGTTTAGTGACAGGTTTGTTCTCAACGATTTTCATTCCCAGCATGATCAGTTACACAAATGGGGACATTTTGTACTTCATCTTGCTTCCATCAGTTGCTGAGGCTTCATCCTGATGTCTTGTAGGGCATCCCTCGAGAGTGCTGTGTTTCACATATGCTTTTCTCAGAAGAAAAGAAGAATTTAGGGTTTTTGTAGTATCTCAGAGCTGGCTGTCTCTAGTCCTACTTCACCTTTTCCCTTCAATTGTTTCAGATTTGCAAGTAAAATGCCACTAGTGACATAGGAAGGCTGCAGTCACTTCCAGCCTGTTCTCAGCACTGCCTACAGGCTGATGCAAATTGGCACATTTAAAGCCCAGGCAGACAGCAGCTGTGTAATCCAGTGGCATTTCCTTCTAAAATTTTCTGCACAGAAGAGGAGCTTGAAAGGAAGTAACAGTTTGGGGAGAAATCCAATTCCAGCCCCAGAGGCAATGCTACACTAAGCAGTAAATCTTCTTGTCTGTGTCTACAGAACAAATAAGGAACTCCTGGCTTGCTGGCTCTGTCTCTGCAGCCAGGGAGGAGCTGCAGACTTGCTGCCCCACTCTTCTGTATCAGAAGCCTATTTGACCATGCTGCAATTCCCTGCCAGTGCATGCTCCAGGTTTTCTTTTCCACAGAAACCAGGATGCTTGCCAATGAAGGAGGATGGGAGAGATGCTGTGTACCTTTTTTCAACTTGACATGGCTTTAGGACATGAGCAGAAAACAATACCAGAGCCAGACATAGCTGCTTTTTTTTTTTGCTTTTTTTTTTTTCTTTTTCTTTTTCTTTTTTTTTTCCTTTTCTTTCCCCGGCTTGCTAAGTATCCAATAGTTTCAGGCAATCAGACACTGTCTGTTGTGAAAAACAAGCTCAAAAAAATGGAAGCATCTAATCAATGCAGAAAAGTACCTACTAAACTGGGGGAAAATAGAGACTTAAAACTAGTCAGTGCTGTAAAGTCACAGACACACAGCTTCAAGGTAGCAATGCCTTCCATCTAATTCCAGCACAATCTGTCACTCGGCTTGGAAAAAGGCAGCATAAGAACAGTCACTCAGTAGCAGAAAACACCAGCATCTATTGTGCCTGCACATCAGTATTGGAAGGATGATTTCTTCATTATTTCATTCCTGAGATCCCACTGGAGTTTTTTGCTATTCCTTTTTAGTAAGAATAGATCCACTTCTAAATTTCCCATTAAAACCATGTTTTTGATCAAAAATGCAGTTTCTACCACATGAGCAACTCTAAGGCACCAAATAAGGTGATATAAAAAAATAAAAAGTGCTGCATTTAGGGTTGTCCAGCCTGAGCTTAGTGTCCTTCAGCCTGTTGAGCTAGAAGGTTGAAGGCTGAATTGCTCCCCTGCCATCCTCCAATCTCCCCATTCCCAAACAACTGCTCCAACAGCAAAACATGCTGTTCTGGCTTGGCTGAGTCAAGGAGATTGCTGTAGGTGGTGCATGGCAGTGACATTTTGGGAGAAGGAGTCCAACGTAGGAGGCCAGACCAGAGAGGAGACACAGAAACCCAGGCTGCAGCTCTCAGGAGATGTGGTTTCCCTGCACAGCAAGATGTAATTTAACTTTGAGCTGACTCAAAATAAAAGGCTGAAGGATTTTTCTCTCCCACCTCACTTTTACATCACATGGGTAT